GGTGCTACACTCTACTAGACATATCTCAAAGACTCACAAGACACATAGTACACCTTGGAATTTGATGTTAATTTGTTACGATCCAAAAAATTTAACTCATAATGATATGTACATTCAACTTGATAAATGAATAAATTTATGTTTCAGTCATTTATTTCTTATTAGTAAATATAATTAAAGTCTACGAGAATAATGATAATACCTATGTATATAACAAAAACACCCCCAAAAATCTAATGATATGAATCGTGAATATTTAAGCCTAAAAATAAATATAAAAATCTGGAAGAACAGATCGACTATCTAAAGATAACATGACTTGTCTAAACACTTCTATGTGTTTTGCTAATAGTAACATCCGAACTTACTCATAAGAATGCAACAAGTATAGCGTGAGTAAAAATCTTTCAAGTACCATAAATTGATACTAATAAATTAATGATAAAAATAATTATTAACTTTAATTCTCTTTACTAGAGATAAGTTTCAAAACACATCTAAATTATATTGGTACCTAAACCTTCATTTCTATCTATGTTCATATATCTGAGGTTATGGCTGTGGCCTGTGCTTACTAAGACAAATAGGCAAAAGTAATTGATGGCTAACAACTTTTCACGTCTATTATTGTCTATGAATTTATATTATATTGCGTTTTAGTCCTTATATTATTCAATATAGTCCATTCATCCCATATTCAATAGACACCTTACTAGAAATGTTTGTCACATACTACTTGATCATTCTCTAAATTAGAATAGAATTAATTATTTATTTTCTCATTTTACCCCTACAATTAATATGACCTTTGAAAGTTTAAGCAAATTTTAAAGACTCATTTTAATGTGCATTGATATAAACAAAGGACAAAATGGTAAAGTTTTTAAATGTACTAATGATTTCTTAATCATCGTGCAAAGCTGAAAGTGCCTATCTAATATGAGACAAAGAAAGTATTATATTTCACCTTCAATAAAATCACGTGAGTGTTTTTAATCTAGAAAAAGTTCAAATTTATCCTCTATTTTCAAGAATAACCAAAATCACAAACATTTATGAAAGTGAATTTTAATCTTATGCTATATTTTCTGCTCTTGAAATAAAGTTTTTATAAAAGAAAATGAATCTCTAACAGAAAAATCCAATATATAGCCGACTCACCAACCTAGGGGCCACCTCACATGCCAATGTTCTGAAGTCACACAAAAATGTGAATGATCTCTCTACAACTTATATTGACGAACAATTTAATGGGTTGAAAAGTAAATTCATAAACTTATAATTTGGGAGGTAGTATAACATCTAATTCGAGCTAAAAGTAGCTCACAAGTTTTCAATTAAAAAAATAAGACAAGTAGGCCCTTTTATTTTTCTTTGCTTTTTTATTTTAATATTAATAAAAGGACTAAACTAATAATATCTTTCATAGTTGTCTGAACAATTATTGAAGTTGTCAAACGACTAAAGAAGTTGTCCCGACAATTAATACAGTTATCGAATGGCTAAAGAAGTTATCCCGACAACTACAACAATTATTGGACTAAAGTATAAAAATTAAAAATTTGAGACTATTATAAAAAAAATATATTTTGATCTAATATATATTATTTATCACTTCTACCTAAATTTTAAATCTTGAAACACTCCTATCTAATTGACAAGCTAATTTATCTCTTTTAATAGACCTTCTTTATGTAATTGGGATATATATATGTTCTAAATTAGATCACATGAGATATTATTCAAAATATTTCCCTATTAAAAAAAAACCTTCAACTAAAATTTTGTTTCAAAGCTCCCTTTGGCTTCTAACTTTAGTCTAATGAATATAATTGGTATAATTACTCATTTCAACATCCCATCAATGGATTACATAAGGAGATAAAATTAAATTTGTAAATCTTTGACAGACTAGTTAAATTCTCCAAAATATGGGAGGGTGTTACACTCTACTAGGCATATCTCAAGACCCACAAGATACATACTACACCTCGAGATTTTGATGTTAATTTGTCACAAAAATATCCTAAAAACATATAAACAATCAACATCTAAACCTAAATATTAAAGGAAATTTTTTTATCTAAAAATAATATGACTAATCTAAACACCTCTGCATGATCCGCTAGTAATCATATCCAAACTTGCACATAAAGATCGAATACAACAAGTATAGCATGAGTTAAAAAAATTTGCAAGTAACATAGATAGATCAATGATACTAATGAAGTAGTGATTCAGCCTTGAGAAAAGTAACTGGTAACTTCTCTTTACTCATATACATTAACAACACTAGACATGTAGCCTCCGCAAGCACGGGCCTAATATATTACTCTTTCTCGTTTAATTTAGGGCAACTTTCATATATAACAAACAGAAAATTCATATTTGTATGTTATAGCAAAGTTTGTATAATAACGCTCCATAGCAAACATATCACTGTATAATTCGCTATACATATACAACTGTATAATTCGCTGGCCTAAATTATATAATTGGCTGGCCTCGCTATACATATACAATTGTATGATTCGCTGGCTAAATTGTATAATTCGGTGGCCTATTTCACTGCAATTGTATAATCCGCTGGCCTATTTCGCTGCAATATGTGTATAAAATTTGTTTTGCATACAATTGAATCGAAGTAAAATGTTTGTATATTGTATAATTATAAGTGTATAGGAAGAAGATATATGTTTTTCTCTCGCTTTATGCAAAAACAGAAACAATTTAATACACTTTTGTTGTATAAAGCGAGAGAAAATTGATTTCACTGCAATTGTATAATTCTTTGGCCTTTTTCGCTTCAATATTTGTATAAAATTTGCATTTGTATACAATTGAATCAAAGTAAAATGTTTGTAAATTGTATAATTAAGTGTATAGCATGAAGATATATGTTTTTGCATGTGTATATACAATTTTCTCTCGTTTTATACAAAACAGAAACGCAATTTATACACTTCTGTTGTATAAAGCGAGAGAGGCGAGAATGAGAGAGTGGAGAGCGAGAATGGAAGAGTGGCGAACGAGAGTTTTGGAAAAAGCGACTGACAAACTTTGACAAATGTTTGCTATGGGGCACAATTAAATCAAACAGTAGCTACTCCATTTATTTTAAATTATTAGTTTGCTATTATATAGAATTATCCATTTAATTTATATGATAATGGATGAAATTTGGAGAGTCATCTTAATTTTTGAATATTTTAATTTGTTAGTTAGTGCAATTTATATTAATGTTAATATCGTTTTTAAATAATATTTATTATTTTCTCTATTTCAATTTATGCAACATAAACATAATTTTAAAAGTCAACCAAATATTTCATGTGTCTTCTAAATATCTTAAGTGGTTCATTAGTATGATTTGTAGTATTGTTTATGTAATTTTTAAATATTATACGTTATCTTCTTCTTTATTCATTTGACACTAATAGAATTTCGAAAGTTAATCAATCTTTTTATATATCTTTAAATATTTAAAGTTGCTAATTATTAGTTGTAGTATCTCTTACGTACTTTTTAAATAATACTTTTTTTTTGTTTCAATTTATATGATACAAATAAAATTTTAAGATTGGACAATTCTTTTATATATGTTTCCGAAAATATTTTATAATATTAGTCATTGAGGTTTATATTACTTTTTGTGTCATTTTCAAATAACACACATTACTTTCTTTGTTTCAATTTACGTAACAAGGATAAAATTCTAAGAATCAAATAATTTTTTTCCATATCTTTTAATTATTTTTATTTATAAAAACTTTAGGTAATTTTTAAATATACAAAAACTTAGAGATAAGACAACAAATCAAAGGAACCACGAAATAACTAAAATGACCTTTGATACATTTTATATATAATATTATAATTTAATTAATATTTTCTATTTTTGTAAGCTCATGTTAAGTCCAATTTAGGGAAAAAACAACATACGAAATACTCCATGATAATTTATTTGACCTGTTGCCTGTTTTGGCACTTTAACTGCCTTTTATAATATAGTAGATATAAAATGAAAATAAAAATACATGATAATATCATCCAAAAAATAAGTAAAATATACATTATTTATGTGCTCATTCTACATATAGTTATTCATGATTATCGTTAAAAAGTCAAATCGAATCGCAATTTGAATTAAAGCGATTGAAAAATTAATATTTGATTTAATTTGATTAGGTTTGGTTTAACGTTTAAAAAATCGATATTATTTGATTTGATTTTGATTTTATTAAAAAATTACTACAAAAATAATCAAGTCGAACCGATATACTATATATAGAAATTTTATAATTATTTATATATTATTCATAAATAAAATATAAATATTTTTTAAAATTTTAAGTAATTTAAGTCTTTAACTTTATCATTTTCTTAAGTACAACACGTAAATTTGAGCCCATCTATTACAATCATAAAACCAGGTCAAGTCCATCAAAATTCATTACATTAGTCTTTAACTATCAAATACTTTTCATAAGATAGTTACATCTTCTCTTAATTGAATCGCTTTGTTCGTGTAATGATAATTTTAGTACTGTTTAATTGATTAATTGAACCAACAATAGCTTATATGTGGATTGTTCATGTACTAGATGTTTGTGTCTACCGAGATACTTATGTCCTCAAAAATTTATTACTTTCAAAATAAAAAGATCAGAAAATCAGAACAAACCGCCAATAACCAAACCGACTGTTAATTTTTATTTGATTTGATTTTAAAATTTTAAAATATCGACTTAAATTAATTTGATTTTAATTTTTAACAAAACAATAAATTCAAATCGAACCACAAACACCCCTAATTCTACATTTTTCACCCTGTATAGATAATATAAGTAGTATAAATTTATTTTGAAACCTATAATTTTATTTTTAAAATTTAATAGTCTGTAATGATGGAATTTTTTTAATATCCATTGACAACTTCATAAGAATAAAGTTTACTAAAATTTATTAATACTCCAAAGGTCTGAAAAATCAATTTTTATTTTTTTTAAAAAAAAAAGATATTTCGTGCGAACAAGTTTGTTTGTGTGAAATTAATGGCGGTCGTCGCCTATACGTTTGTCCATACAAAAAGGGCGTTGAGTTCCTGAATTCATCAGCAACATCAAATCCCTTAAAACCCTAATTCGGAAATTTTTGATACAGAGAAAAGCTATGGGGAATGTTAACTGTGTATTCTGCGGCTGCATAGAACAGGCGAGCGTTGGTGTGGTGGAAAAATGGGGACGTTTTGACAGATTAGCAGAACCAGGGCTCAATTTCTGGAATCCCTTGGCCGGAGAATGCCTCACTGGAACTCTCTCCACCAGGATCAATTCTCTTGATGTCAAAATTGAGACCAAAACCAAGGTATACTACTACTATTTATTATTCCGATTACGTCCCTAAAAAAGTAAAACCCTCCTACTGTTTTCCATTGTGTGTATGCAAAAATTGAATGATCGATCGGTTAATTTTGAATAATTTAGCTTTTTTATAGTTTCTAGTTACATTTGGTGTAATTGAACAACATAGTTATGTTGCTGATACGAGTTGATATCAAATAGACAAAACAAAATCTATGAATAAAGTAGCTAAATGTATATTTACAAGGAATATGAAAAAAGATTTGACCTTCTACAGACCAAGCTCAATTCCTATTAGGATGATATCCAATGAGTGGATAAAGCTAAGAAATATTGGATTGTGAGAGAGGGAAAAAAACTCAAGATGGTTGTTTAGTGAAAGTACATTTAGAGTGTATGCAGCAAATTCAATTCTGTGGAAATGAATGAACTTTAGCCTGTTAGAGTTTCAAAATTAAAACTTGCCTGTATTATTATGTTTTATGAGGTGGTATAATGCTGAAGAAAGTCAGAGATTAGATTAATACGCTCTTGAAGGGGTGAAGTTGTTAATTTTGGGGAACTTTACCGGCCCCTATAATTTGAAGGTAATGGTTTCCAATGTATAAATGGATTTGCAGTTTGTAAGTCAATCAGATATTGTGGATTTTCTTTTAGAGTACATCATGCTAAGCGTTTTTTTTCTTCTTCTTACTCGTTTGGACTGGAATAGAAACTGCAGTCAGAGTAATACATCCTCTCTTTCTATGGACTGTTCTGTTAAACCTCTAGGCATGTCTTGACGACATTAATTGGTCAACTAATTATCTTAAGAAAGTTAAAGCATCATTTCCCCAGGCCTCCTAGTGAGATGTTTCATAATATGCTCCTTGAAGTAGACAAAATTGACATAAATTGATGCTGAGCTAATAGTATTTCTCTATAATATGATGAATGATATTAAAAAGCTTTTGATTTTGAGGCCGTTTGATCTAATCTACGTTGCCCTAAACTACTGGTATCTTTTTGAGAATTCAGTAGCAGTTTAGGACAGAAATGGGCCAATATGTTTCTTCACCTGGAGAAAATTAACTAATTTGTTATTGTTCAGGATAATGTCTTTGTTCAATTGCTGTGCTCAATCCAATATAGAGTGATCAGGCAAAATGCTGATGATGCTTTCTATGAGTTGCAAAATCCTACAGAGCAGATTCAGGCTTATGTATTTGATGGTAATTTGTTTTTTTTTTGGTTTTACTTCTTGTGAGTTTATTTTTGCTCTTGTTTATTCATGCCACTTGCATGATGCTAATCTCGTTCAATGTTCTTGATTCTTCTAGTTGTTCGAGCCCATGTCCCCAAAATGAATTTGGATGAGCTTTTTGAGCAAAAGGATGAAGTTGCTAAGGCTGTTTTGGAGGAACTTGAGAAGGTAAATTTGTGTCTTTGTGTGGGCAGCCGGGAAATGAAATCTCACTTTCTCCATTTAAAATTTAGAACACAACCTGATCCATAGGAAATAGAGTGAATTTGGTAGGATGGTGAGGGGTAACAAAAGCAATGGAAAAAAAAAAACTAATTAGTTTGTTTGTTCATATGTTGTGTATGAAATTCAAACAAATTTTATCCTGTTTCAAACTGTTGGAGCCTGGATTTTTCAGTGAAATGCTATCATTTGGATGACTTTAGCTCCCCAAAAGTTTCACTTGTTCGTTTCTTAATTGAGATTTTATCATGCAAAGTGCAACACTTTTTTTTTTGAGAAAGGTACTTGTATTATGAACAAAGGGATAGTCAGGAAGTATTCCAGTAATACTTACAGCCAAAATATAGGGAAGATAAAACTACTGCTACATCACAATTTATCTAGAATACTAGGAATATCCTCTTCTTCTTGAGGATATTTATGTTTACACCAAAAAAAAAAAAAAAAGGACCAGACAGTTCATCTTCAGTTTCTGCAGTGAGCAGCTCTTATTTTCAAAGCATCTCTGGTTCCTTTCCATCCCGATAGTCCACCAAATGCTTGCTGGGACAATCTTCCATCTCTCCTTGTGTCCGGACCGATTTCCTTCTCTATTCCAAAAGCTAAAACTACTATCCATATAGTGCAACACTTCTGATCAATTTTAAATGGAAGGCTGGGATTTTGGATCGTTAGATATTAGATTGCCCCTCCCTGCTTGGGAATGTTGTAACACTTGCTTCTAACTCAAGATCATTTCCTGCCTCACTTTGTACGGCTCATCTTAATTTCTTTTCTTTTTTCTCAAAAAGTATTCCTCCCATTATCTAGAAGCATATATGGTTAATTGACCATTATCAATAAACCTTTTTTGAGAAGATTCTCTCAGAATTTTTAAATTGGAAATTTTATGTTCAAGTAGTCATCTTCTACTAATTGAAGGAAATTGACTTTTCTGCTCCTCTTCCTTCTAGTATATTAGGGGAAAAAACTGGTATTGGTCTTCTGTCATCAATACGTTATACTATTTTGGTATTTCCTAATATGTCTCTAAGAGAAAAAATTGTACTTCTTCCCGTTTCATATTACTTAGCCCTTGTTGACCTGACACACTCCTTAAGAAAGCTTTAATTAGAGGTTTATTTTACTAAGCTAACCTTATTGATGATGCTTGGAACTCTAAATTTGACTACTACTACTTTATGTAGTTATCTATATTAAGGGTGATATGGGGGAATCAGTAATATAACTCTCTTGATTTGCTAAATGGACAAGTATATTGAAACATCTATTTTTGTATAGGGGTCAAGTAAAATGAAACTGAGGGAGTATTTCTTTCTTTAATTTTATTAATCAAGTAGAATTCTAAAAATGAGGCAGCACCCTCTACACAGTGTTCTTCCACCCCCTACCCCACCCCGCAAAAAGGGGAGGGAAATTCCTCAAGGTAAACAAGGATTCCTCTGTTGCCTTACTCAAAAATAAGGATGTTATTGTAAAACTTCTCAGCTTAGATTCTTGTGTGTGTTCTAGTTCCTTCTTCTTTTTTCTTTAGTATATCGGTGAAAATTCTTGACCTTGTTCTAGCATAAATTTTTACCTTATTTTTTGTTATTTTTACTGATCGAGTAGAATTTGAGGTAGAACTTACTGGAAGCTGTTTGTTGTCCCCCCAATAAACAAAAAAAAAACTGCCCCAAAAAAGGGATGTAGAAGAAGATGCAAAAGGAAAAAATACCATCTCAATCTGACTTATCAAAAAGGAGAAACGGGGAATAGAGAGAGTTTAGATCATGAAATTGTTCCTTAAGAAAGCTTTAGGAATCATTTGAATAATTGTTATTTGTTACATAGTTTACTAGGCTTTGGAACTTTCTCCATTTCCAATAGGAAATATTTGTTTCTTGAGTCTCTTATTTAGTTTGTTTATGTATCAGGTGATGGGTGCGTATGGATATAATATCGAGCACATACTGATGGTTGACATTATTCCTGATGCTTCTGTGAGAAGAGCTATGAATGAGATAAATGCAGGTAAGAAACTGCTGTAGTTTTGCATATGAATAAAATTTCTTGTTTAAGAAATGTGTGATTTAAGATTTGAAGGGGAACTTATTTATACTAGTATACAAATAGAGTGTCGATGGTATCTATGTTTCTGTTTTTCCTACTTCTGAATTAGTGTACAAATAGAGTGTTGGTGATCTTGGTTTCTAGTTTCTACTTCTGAATTAGCATAGTTATAAAGTGCATGCTTTGAATTTGAAGGGGAATTCGTATGCAAATAGCATGGACTGTACTTCAAATTTCTGCTTTTTGACCTCTGAATTAGCGTACGAAAAGAGTGTTGATAATTCTTAGTTTCTACTTCTGATTTAGTGTACAAATAAAATAGCATTCATGGTACTGATCTGTTGTATTCCTCGGTAAGTTCTAATGCACATTTTGGAACTTGGAATATATCTTTGAGCAAGGTGCCGATTGAGGATGCATCTGGTGTGTGGAGAGACAAATGTTACCTAATCTATCGCTTTTTGTTTTCAGAAGTACTATATAATTAAAATAATGGAGATTATAGATTGTTGTTCTCTGTTACGTAGAGTGACAGTTTACTGAACTATACACTATTTTATCTTATTTTGTGTTATAGCTCAAAGGATGCAGCTTGCTAGTGTATACAAAGGAGAAGCAGATAAAATTCTGCAAGTTAAGAAAGCAGAAGCTGAGGCTGAAGCCAAGTATTTAGGTGGGGTTGGGGTTGCCAGGCAGAGGCAGGCAATTACCGATGGTTTGAGAGAAAACATCTTAAACTTCTCACATAAAGTAGAAGGGACCTCTGCCAAAGAAGTAATGGATCTTATAATGATCACCCAATATTTTGACACCATCAAAGACCTTGGGAACTCTTCAAAGAACACAACCGTTTTCATACCACATGGTCCTGGCCATGTTCGCGACATTGGTGATCAGATACGTAATGGCCTGATGGAAGCAGCTAGCGCAAAGGACGCTGAATAGGTCTGCTCGTTTTAACGATCAGAAGCCTGTGTCTGTTGTACCCAAGAAGGTTACACAATAAGAACAATTGGAGTTTGATAGTTTTGGTTTGGATTGTTTTTGTTTTCTCTTTAGCCATGAGCATTGACATTGGCAACATTGTTTGATGTTGTATAGCAAAAATAATAATAAAGAAGTTTTTTTTAAAAAAAAAGAATAGAAAATGGAGGAATATCAGAAAATGTCTGTAATTTGTATATTCACTTTCAGGTGCTATAGTGACTATTAAGAGGGCCAAATCAAACTCAGCTCGCAATTCATTTAAGTTCGGATGGGTTATTGACTCGTTCATTTACTAGCTCAATTCATGCCAATCCTTTTTAAAAATTTGGTTAATATATAATTCGAATTGACTTGATGAGAAATCTTATGAAAAAAAGTTAGAATTTTTTTTTTTAATTTTGTAAATTGTACATAGCCATAATAAAGAAAAAAAGTGATTTTATTAGCTATTAAAATAGTTTTAAAGAAAAAGATAAAATAATTAAGTTTAGTAAAAATTAGATTGGGTTGGATTATGACCTGTAATGTAATCTATTATCAAATCCATTTTGACCTAAGTAAATTTGGGTTGAATGATCTTGACTCGATTATGATCCGTCCAAATTTAATCTAATTTATTCAATTGTCGATCCCTAGTGACTATACATCTTTTAAGAGGGTAAAAACACGTTAGATATGAGAATCTATATTTGTTTCTGCAAAAAAAAGCAAACACATACAGTATTCAATCTTGTTCTGTAACATGAACAGGTTGGTCAAAACATGTTATAAAGTTTAGTATGGTTTGTTTAATATTTGAAATTTCAAACAAATTAAAAATAAAATTAGATGGATGAAAAAAGGTAGGTAACAGCTAAATTTTTCTGAATCAATTCTAATATTCTTTTGACATAACTACGTCAATGCTCATTAATTTTGCTGATTTTGACCTTAGTACCTTCACCATGATATGCCAGCTATTACATCTAGACATTATTACCTATATTTTAAAATGAAAATTCATTCGAAATTTTATACATCAATTAATATGAATACTATAGAAAAAAACTAAAATATGTGCTTTGAGGAATTAGTTCCGAAAAAGAATTGAAAATGCAACCATACCTCTAGGGGATGGAAGCGCTGTGACAACTCAATGCATGATAATATTTAATAACAGTAATATACTTGTTGTAATTTTATATATAAGAATCGAAAAGGATAGAAATTTATATTGATTTTATTCCTACTCATTGAAATAAAAAACTATTTTCAAAAAATCCTCGACTATAATTAAGATAATATTAAGTCAAAATAAATCATGAGTTCCATTGGCCTCCAACTTTGATATGTTTGACAAGGAAGTAGTAGTATTTCTAGTCCACATAATCTTTCTAGCTAATAAATATTTTTTAATAACATCATTATAAAAATGTATTTTTGAATTATCATTTATACTTAGGAACAAAATACAGAATTATTTTATTCTGTGTTTGGTTGGAGGTGTTATTTATCTCACCATTATATCTTAGTAACAGGGATAAATTATCTTATATACATAATAAAATAACTTATTCCCAATCAAACAATCTCGTAATATCGCGCTAAACTAACACCAATAGAATACTAAGGTGTATTTAATTATGGTTGAAAGAATAAACAAATTGCTATTGAGGAAGAAATTGAATATTTCCATATGTAGACAGTAAGACTATATACAAATGGAGGAAAAAGGGAGAATTTTTTTTTTTTTTTTAAAAAAAGGTGTAGAAAAGTATGTTAATAATAATAATAATAATAATAATAATAATAATAATAATAATAATAATAATAATAAAGATTTGATGGCACTAATCATTTATTCCTCTATTGGCAGACAATGGTTAAAACTGTACTGAATTAAAACAAAACTGCTTCCCATCTAAATTTAAATTAAAGATTTCATTAGTGAGTCAATTAGACATAACATAGCACAATTATGATTTATCGAGATCATAATCTTAAATAAAAAAGTATAGAGTATACAGAATTATGGTAAAAGATTGATAGGTCGAAAAGTGTACGTCTATATTAGTCTATACGATTAATGTCTTTATAACTAAGTAGTCATAGTAGTATATTTATAGCTTCTTATTTTTCAATTTTCTCGATATTTGTTGTTTCTTATAATTTAATATTTAGTTATAAAGTTGTTTCATACATTTTCTTTTTGTTTTGACCCTGGGGTCAATTGGAAATAACCTTTTTGTTGCATATGCTACATTCTATCCTCCAAAAATATCGTACTCGGTTAAAATACACCGAGTATATTTTTGTTTTCTCTTTGCTCCTTTTGTGTAAAATTAAGATTGTGGGTGGGGGGTATAAAAAATAAATTAACAAAAGTAGAAGAGTGAGTGGGAGAAGTAATCTACCAATTAATGTCTAATCAGATGTATTAGTAGTTGGCTGCTTGTGTTTAACTCAAGTGGGAATCATTAATTCTTCAAAAAGTCTACTCAAAATAATGTGTATTTTTCACTGTTGTAGATTAAGACGACTAAACCATAATCTTGAAATAACACCATTAATGTGTGTATGTAACAAGTTAATGAGTTTGGACCACAAAAATAACACAACGATAAGATGCTCCCTAGGACCACATTTATTGATTTCATATAATACAATAATAATAAGTGATTGACAGATATTTTTCTACACATGTTTTCTTCTAGTATATCATTAATTATATGTGATAGTGATTAGGTATGAAGAGAAAACCCATTTCTCTAGCTATTCATTTTTCGATCGTGGTTTGAGTCATGAAATCAGTCAATAGTGTTAAGAGTAGGTTGTGTGTGGTTCTTCTCGAAATCCTGTGTGTCATATAAGAGAAAGTTGAAGATAGATCCACATATTGAAGTTTATTTGTACCTACAACGATATCAAGTTAATATACAATAGTAACTAGGTTTGTAGAGTTAAATACATATATAAAGTTTTGTCAAAAGCTACTATAGGTTTCTATGAGCTTGAGATCCGCCCCTGAGCAGAGGGACAATCCGGTAGATCAATCAACAACAATATATCCAGTGTAATTTCGCACAGAGGGGTCTGGGGAGGGGTAGTGTGTACACAGACCTTACTTTTACCTCAAAAGATGATAGAGAGAGGTTGTTTCCGATAGACCTCATGCTCAAAGCAAAAACAATCTAGGAAAAGACATAATGGAAGTGCGATAGAAAATAAAAACGGGTAGATTAATCGAAGTACATAAACTGATCTGAGACACTGTGGTTATAATTTTTACTTTTGGAAGAAAAATACAGTGAGGGGCCAGAGGCAAAAATCTACACATAAGGTGCAAAAGGAGACTCCCTAACTATACAAAGAAAGAGATTGTCCACCAATTAGAATGCAACAGGAGCAAAGCTCATTCCAAAATAAGAAAAACAAGATATCATTCTCATCTATCACTCTCTATATTTACTACTAACTTATAGCCATTGTGAATGGATCACAAGGAAAATGGTAACATAACTATAGAGTAGACTCAACAGTATGCCATACGTTGAGCTAATATTCGAGTTGAAAACAAGAACTCATCATTCCCTAGCTAAGTAAAAGGAGGCGGAATAAGTAAGCAGTTCAGGTCAATGAAATAACAGCAAAAGAAGTATATGTAATTGGAGCTTGCTTTTAATAATTTGATCGAGATTCGTATGAAGTGGGCAAGAATGAAAAGAGAGAATGGTAATAATGAGGGAGATTTGAAAGTGTGTAGATTCTGGTAGAAAAAGACTGGTGTCCTGTTGATAATAATCATTCTGTTTCAACCTTTTTTAAAAACAGGAACATGACAACAATGAACTATGAAATCGAAACACATACCATACGAGTGAAAAGGCCTTTTCAATTCCTCTAGTTGGTTGAGCAGTCTATTAGTAGTTAGCGTTATCAGCACATTCCTCGTGTCCCTCCATCAATTAATACCTATAGCAAATTCTATAGACAAGTGAACTAGCAGTAACAATATCATCCTCCAGAAAAATCGGCTTTTTAATTTCGTTTCCTCTTTTTGGCCCTTCCCGCCTCTCTTTTTTCTTGTATGCTATACAATTTTTTTGTCCTGAAAGATCAAGGAATTAATTTGTACTTGCAACAGAATTTTTTTTTGTATAGAATGTAAACAGGCTTACACTGTAGAAAAGGAATGATTGAAGATTCCGAAAATAAAAGCAGCAAAACTTTAACACAATAATGAGCACTGCATACCAAATAAATCATACAACCCATATGCAGCAGTGCCCTACCTTCTGTATGTTTCATCTCACCACTTTTTCACCATCTCCTGTACTATTGCACACAAAGATGTTTAAAGAATAATCATAAACATGTCCTGTAGATTGGAAATTTTTACCTGTAGGGTACTATGTCATGTTAAGATTGTCAAGAATTCAGCCACAAGAAAAGGAATCAAATGATGGTTATTGTATCCAATTTCAGCGTAGTTATATATTAACAATCATTTCATAGAGGTTTCCAAGACCAGAATTCGTTAAGTCAGCTATGGAGCAAGTATATCTGCATGCAGGTCATAAATTATAGGTATTTCTCAGAAATCTATAAGCAGTTATAACAGTTACCAGTTTAAGACGAATACTTGAACCAAAACTTAGTGAAGTCCTATTATCTGAAGTGTAATTATGAATGGTGCACGTGAATGACAACGTGAAAAAAAAAACAGCATGCCTCCATGCATACCAAATTATATTAGTAGTCAATGTTATAGGCAGCAAAGTAGAGCCAGAAGACAGTTGAAATTCGTTGAAAAATCTTTTCAGCTACAATATGCAATCCATAATGCCGACAGCCCCTTGCTTACAGTTTGCTCAAAGTAGCTTTTTCCAATCAGGTGAAATAACCAAGAACTAAGAAAAAACTTTTAACTTTCAAATTAAGAATCTGGTGTGAAATTTTCAACAAAGTACCACCTTGTATGAGAATAGATAGATGGTCATGATGCTTAAAGAAATAGTTAACCTAAAGCTTTTTAAACAGTCTTGGCTGATGGGAATAAAATAAACAATTAAATACTTAGAAAGTCGAAAGAAACAAATAACCTTCCCTCTAACCTTCCTCTTGATGCAACGTCTGTGGGGCTCTAAAAGCAGATGCTCTGGAGTCATTCTTCTGGCTACAAGGATCTGCTTCCGGACTGTTCTTAGGTTGACTGATCTCATAAAAGCTTATCCGATTTTTCATGCAACAACCAATGAAGAA